ATGGATAAAAGGCACTGAAAGAAAGTAAAAAGAAATCTAGCTGGGACAGTGATCATGCAGTGACTGTGCATATTAGCAGGAAGAAGACATCTTGTAGACATCTGGTAATGAGGAAAGCGGATGGTGGAATATAAAGGACACTTATTGCCTCAAGTTTTGTTAGAGACATTTGGACTTCTTAAAAACAAGAATAGATATGAAAATAAAGAGAAAATATAACTGTGTAAGAACTGAGTATACAGCTATAGGGAAAAAAGAGGGGGGGGGAGAGGTACGGTGTCTTGTTACAAGCTAATATTTATAATATATATGAATTGTGATTTTTCTAATTTTTTATGTTTTGCTTTATGCTTTTCTATATAACTATATTTAACTGAATTAATTGGATTAACTGGATTAATTGTAATAAGATAGTAAAGGAGATACCAATATATCAATATATTAACTTTATAGATTGAGTTACATTATAGTTACTATAGTTACTATATTTATATTTATTAATTGTCAATTAGCTGGTACTATATTTATTAATTATAAATCATAAACTTATAAACAATATATAGAGGAACTGTATCATATTATATTAGATATTTGTTATTCATTGATTACAATCTCAGGGATAAAGTAGCTAATATAAATTAACTATTGGTATACACTTACTGCTATATAAATATTGTTATATGACCATATATGGTTACTAAAATTAATCTAAAAAAGATAATAATATATATTTTAAGAACATAATATAAAAGGAGGCTGGTATACAGTACAGTACTTTAATAACAAATATAAGGATGATATCCAGTGCGATTGGAAATTTATGGTATTTTGGATACAGTTGTATGCAATTTTGAGAATGTCAACCACTACTACCACAACAATGAAGACAGGGAAAAAACCCAATGCCAATGATGTCTTCCCCCTCTGGCCAGAGGTCGTTAGAAAGTATGTTGGGAAGTGAAAATTTAGGCTCAACACTAACATTGCAGAGTTTACAAACAACCTTACTACGATGTAAGAGATGATGATGAAACCCAGGAATCTATAACAAGTAACCATGAGGAAATGAAAGGCGGCATGGAAGAAATGAGGAGAGATATCCATAAGCTAGATGGTAGAGTGATACAAGAAGCGATAACGAAGAATGAACAAAAAATCAAAATGGTAGAGGTTAGAACTGACCAACTGGAAAAGAAAGTAGAAACAACAGAACAAAACTTGATGGCAGCAAACAAAAAACCTGGAAGATGCCATTACAAACCTGGCCCACTGTAACTTCATAGCCAAAAAGGCATTAAGAGTTGTTAATCTAATCCTATGTAGCTTCTTCTCTGGTAATATCACACTACTAACTAGAGCATACAAAACATTTGCTAGACTAATACTCGAATACAGCTCATCAGTCTGGAACCCACATTACGTATCTGATATTAGCACAGTTGAGGAAGTCCAGAAATATTTCACAAGAAGAGTTCTCCACTCCTCTACTCATTGTAGAATACCTTATGCCACCAGACTTGAAATTCTAGACCTAGAAAACCTTGAATTACGCCGTCTTCGGTCTGTTCTAAGTATGGTATATAAAATCATACATTGCAATGACTTACCTGTCAATGAACACTTCAGCTTCAACCATAACAACACAAGAGCACACAATAGATACAAACTCAAGGTTAACAGCACCAAACTTGATTGCAGAAAATACGACTTCAGCAACAGAGTGGTCAATGTCTGGAATACTCTACCTGACTCTGTGGTTTCTTCCCCAAACCCCAAACACTTTAACCTTAGACTGTCTACTATTGACCTCACCCCTTTCCTAAGAGGTCTGTAGGGGGCGTGCATAAGCGCACCAATGTGCCTACCCTCCCTGTCCTATTGTTTCTTTTATTTTTCTTATATGTACCCATTTTATGTATTCATAACTATGTATATACTTATACCTATTATCTTGTAAGCGATTGACAAATAAAAAATAAATAAAATAAATAAATCAGGGCATATACTGCTATAAAAAAATTAAGGAATTTGGCAGAGTGGCAGGGTTAAAAATAAATAAGGAGAAAACAAAGATATTAACAAAAAACATGACAGTGAAACAGAAGGAAGAATTAGAAAGGAAATTAGGGATCCAAACAACAAAATATTTGAAATATCTTGGGGTATGGCTGACAGCTAAATGTTCTTTGATAAAAATAGACAACTATGAAAAACTGTTAAAATAAATACAAAAAGATTTGGAAAATTGGGGAAAACTCCAGATATCACTGTTAGGGAGAATTGCCACTATTAAGATGAACATATTACCCAAGATGCTATTTCTTTTTCAAGCAATCCCAATAAAACTAGGTAAAACCTTCTTCAAAGAACTGAACAAAGCAATTAAAAAGTTTATTTGGCAAGGGAAAAAGGCTCAAATAAAACTTAAACTTCTGCAAAATAGTAAGGATAAAGGAGGATTCGGGCTTCCAGATTGGGAACTCTACTACCAGGATGCAATAGCAGTATGGATCAAAGATTGGATAAATCTAAAAAATAAAAGACTATTGATATTAGAAGGGTTGGTTGGCATGCGTTCATGTGGGAAGGGAAAAGCAAATTTCATTCATATTTCCAAAGACTTCAAATCAGAGACACACTATTAGGGGTATGGGAAAAAATGAAATAAAATCACTATACAAAGATCCCAATCTGATTGTCAACCATGGAAGCGATAGTATACCCGAATGTTTTAGATCTAGATAATACAGTGAGTTATAAAGAGATATTGGATGAACAAGGGAAATTAAAATCTAAGCAGGAATTGATTTTACAAGGAATACAAATAAGCTGGTGGCCATACCTACAGATACAAACTAGATATAAGAAGGATAAAGAACAATATGGGATATACTTAGAACAACAAGAATTAGACAAAATTTTACAAGGGCCAGAAAGGAAAATGATTTCTAAAATGTATAAATACTTGTTGAATTACAAATTGGAACAAGAAAATGTGAAGAAAACAATGATAACCTGGGCCAATTTTTTTTGATATAGTATTAACTTGGAAGATTGGGAAAATCTATGGATAACAAATTATAAACTAACTTTATCGGCAACCTACAAAGAGAATTTGTACAAAATGTTTTGTCGCTGGCACCTACCACCAGCAAGTCTTGCAAAAATGTTCCCCAATAATTCGACGAGATGTTAGAAATGTGGCTATGAGCAGGGAAGCTACTATCATATGTGGTGGCGCTGCTCAAAAGCAAAAAAAAATATGGAGGAAAATTTAAAATTGGTTAGAAGAAATCACAAAAGTTAAAATTGAGTTGAAACCAGAGGTATTTCTATTAGGAATCCTAAAACAGAAAATGAGCAAGAAATTATTATACATAATACTCAGGGGTGGGTTTCTACTGGTTCTGTCCACTTCTGTAGAACTGGTAGCTCTGAAGAGCAGCAGACATAGAACCGGTTCTATGTCTGCTGATGTTTTTGCCCACCCGCCCACCTGGGCTCTTACCTGATCTTTATTTCCTGATTTTTCAACTTCAGCTGCTGAATGAGGCACAGCTGCAGTTAAAAAAACAAAAAATGAGGGCTGTTTCAAAGGCTGCTTCTCAGCAGGCAGCGTGCTAATGACATGCTAATGACGATTTATGACTATTTACAGGAGCGCGGAAAGGGAAGCTGGTAAATCCCAAACCGGTAGTTAACCCTTTCGTATCCCACCCCTGATAATACTTCATATACTAACAGCAGCAAGGCTCGCCTTTGCCCAAAATTGGAAATGTGAAAATGTCTCCCCTGAATTTATGATCATAAAAAAAAACCTTGGAATGTGCAGAAATGGACAGGTTATCAGTGGAACTCAGAAACAAAGAGAAGTCAGAATACTGTTCCAGAATAAGTTCCAGAAATTTGGAACTTATGGTACAGTTGGTTGGAAAATAGACAAGAAAGGAATAAAAAGTCAAATAAAAGGATATGATAGAAATTGGTAATATATGTAAATTTATTCGTGATACACAATTAGAATGAAACTTTGTATTATATTTAAATAAGTGAATGAACATTTGATACGAGAGAGTTGTCAATTAGAGTGAACACTGTATTTGCCTATGTTGCGACAAATGGACTTTTTTGATTTTATTGTATGTACATAAAACTATTTAATAAAGTATTTTTTTTAAAAAGAGAGAGACAGAGTTACCTATAATTTATTTTGGTCTGTTTGAGTACTGCGAAGGGGTATTGATGAAGCAAAGACAAATATTCAGTCAAGAATTCATAGTTTGCTGGCCTCTTTGATGAAAGGAAAGATGGCAAATACATTTATTGTAAGTCCTTTATAGACTTTGCATGAAACAGAAAAAAATGAAGTTTTGATTTGTGATTTTGTTGTTTAGAAAATATTAGATATTAGAAGAAAGAACTTTTTTGTAGCAATAGAATAAGAGGTAATTTTGTACTTTTATTTGCTGAAAAAGGAATTTGAAGCTTCTCCCTATTTCTTTTTATCTTTTCTTTTTGCATTTCATCCTTTCATCTGTTTCTCTTCTTTTTTCTTTTCTTTCTTTTCTTTGTATTTTGTTAATTTTTAATTTTATCTTCTTTCTAAAACTTTTAATAAAACTTATACAAAAAAGAGTTCATGCTTGTTTTGTCATTTCATCAAATTACACACACAGAGAGAAAGAGAGACAACTCAGCTGACTTCAAAATGATTGTCAGTTTCTGTTTTTGCTCTTTGCCGAATGGGACTTACTTCTTACAATCTTTAAAAAGTCTTTGTCTATTGATAGTGTCTTCTGTATTTGATATGATTTGTTCATTTTAGTTTCATTTGCACTGATTGTAGAAATGAAGCTACAGATTAAGTATTAAAACAATGATTTGTAATAGAATTTTTAATCAACAGGTTTAAGTTATTCAGCTGAAGATTAAAAGATGTAACAGATATATTGAATTCCTTAGCTTGGTTTTATTCATTTTTTAAAAATATTTCTTTCTAGTTTACACCAAGTTCTAATGGATTTACAAAATCAGCAGCTCAGTGAGCTATCTGACTGGTTAGCTAAAACAGAAAAAAGAACAGCAAAGATGGAGTCAGAACCTTTGGGGCCTAATCTAGAAAGCTTAAAGAAGCAGGTAGAAGAACATAAGGTAAGCTGTACTTTTCAAGAGCCACATTATTTTTTAGCATTTCTTTGTGTAATTGTCAGCACATAAGCGCACCAACGTGCCTACAGTCCCTGTCCTATTGTTTCTTTGTTTTTCTTATATGTACCCATTTCATGTATTCATAACTATGTATATACTTATACCTATTATCTTGTAAGCGATTGACAAATCAAATAAATAAAAAATAAATAAATATTAAAAATACCACTATTTTGGAACATTGCATAGAAATAGATTTTGTATTAATAAGATAAGGATGCTATAATTTTATTTACTTATTTTTCTTTCATTATTCACATAATAAAAAGTATTCTGGAATGATAAGAGGAAAGGGAATTGCAATATGCTATTTATTGCAAAATACAATAATAATGTTTCAGATTTTATTATTCCCCGTTTCCTTCTTTTGCTATCTTATACTTTTTTTTCTCTACTATCTAATCAACACTATTAGTTATTATAATTGGGATTTCTAATCTCATTAGCAGTGCTGTGACTTTATATTGCAGCCCCCAAGCACAGTAATGTATTCAAGCTGACTCCTGCCTTTATATACAAAAGATGAAGTATTGAAAAATGAATTTAATTATAACAGCAACACGCCAGTACATAATGAAGAAAAGAACTGGATAAAAGTGTCTTTCTGTTGTGCATCTATGTTGTAGTCTAAGAAGTTTTCTTACACACACACACTCACACACACACACACACACACACACATACACCATTAACTCTGATTAATAAAATCTCAGATATGCCTTAATAGATACTAATGTGTATGATGCTATCTGTATTTCTACTTTTTTTCTTTACTTATTTTTAGCATCATGTATAACTAACCTTCCATGAATAAGATATACTTTTTAATGAAACTCTTGATTCTGTTTTTTTTCTTTTTTCTTTTTTTGAAAGATTCAAAATATTGAATTCTTCATATTTCTTCTAGTTATTAAAATTCCTTACAATACATACATGATCCTTAATCCTGTGCAGTCCAAGTATTTACCAGTTTCCCCACACATTCTAACTGTGAAGTAGGGTTGTGCCTACTAGTTACATAGACCTCAAATCGCCTCTGGCTATGGAATTCTGGTTGCTATAAGTTGCCATTAAAAGGAAGAACAGAAAATGTATATTCATTGTTACGTGCTTAAGATTCATCCAGGATTTTCTATCATTTCAAGAAAACCTGCATTGATAGGTAGCATCTTTTTATTAATGGTATATATATCCATGCAATCTAGACCAACAGATGAAGTCCTGTGAGGTTGATTAAATTAAAATATCTGATACATTATGTAAAATATGTATTCTAATGTATGATACAAAATGTTTTCATGTTTTATCAATTACATGTTACCCTGTTTCTCCAACAATATGGCCAATAGGAAGTCCCAGCATGTTTTATAGGCATGAAATGAAATTAAGCCCCTCTCCCCAAATTAAGTCCTATATTAAAACATGTGAAATGGGGGGAATGGTGGGGGGGCTTGCCGTTAGGAAGTACTTTTGTTGCATACCCGGATATGGTGCTGCCTGCGTTGACCCCGATACGAAGTGCCCCACCAACGCCGAGGTCAACACCCAAGCCATCGCCGTCTGCCCGCCCGAAAATGCAAGGGGGGGGAATTAAGTCACCCCCCCGAAAAGACGGCCTAGCCATTTTTTCGGGGCTCAAAAAAAAATAAGACTTATTATATGAGAAACACGGTACTATAAATGCTATAATATTTTGTTTTTGCCTGCTTTTTTGTTTTTTGTTTTATTATTTTTATTCTAGTGTTTTATATACTTTGACTTAAAATGTTGAGTTAAACATGTCCAAGCATGCAAAAGCTACCCAACAAAATTACTTTGGCTTTGTTTAATATTCATGCAATTAAACTAAAGACTCTTGAATCATTGAGACTCTTAAACCCTAATAACTACATGCCAATTTCTTGGCAGTCATGCAAAAATACTTAGTATCTTCTCACAGAATGTATATATGTTTATACTTAGGATAGCTATAGTCTAGTTACACCCTTTGATTTTCTTGTAGTTTCCTATCTAGGGACTAACCAGGTCTCGCTATACTTTTATATACAGATTTTCTGGGTAGCCTTCCTTCCTTTTATTTTTCCACAATATTTCTACTAAAATTACAATTCTACCAAGGCAGGTATTTATATTTGTTGTAATTAATGGAGCTTAATTGCTGGTTTTAGCAAAAAATATATCCTTTAAAATGATGTATGGTTTGGTATCCTGACTCCCTTTGTATAATAAGACTCTGAGTGCAGAAGTCAGTCCACATTTCCTATATTTAAAAAAAACTAAACCCACCCCCCAAAAACTTGGATCTGTCCTAGTAAATGCAGATTAGCCATATATTATTTGAAACATGGGTGTTAAAAAAAATCCTCTAGACAAGTATAGATTAGATTAGATTAGATTACATTAGATTAGATTAGATTAGATTAGATTAGATTAGATTAGATTAGATTA